GGGGGTCGACGTTGTTGTTGTTTTCCTGAACGCTGGTTAGAATAAACTTGTTCTTTGCTTCTTGTTTCTTGTGATGTAGGTAAACTGACTTCATTGGGAGCGGCAGCCTGTGAGCCCGTCTCATTACGGTTTGCCTCTTCTCTGGCTTCAATACCGGCATTCTCCTCCTGGCGCTTGGTGGACTCTATACGTTTCTTCTTCTCTTGGATCATATCGTCTCTGTACTTCACGGCCCAAACTACGAAATCAACACGGGGGGTTGCTGGGGCCGTTCCCATAGGGGCGACAGGGGCAGGGGTAGGGGCAGTGACAGTGACAGTGGTTGACCCGGAGGGTCCAGTAGTAGATTGAGTTGCCATGTCAGCGGTGTTTGAGGTGGTGATTGAATGGGGAGTCGAGGGAAGAACCTGTCAACAATCACGGTGTCACGAGAGCGTGCGAGAAGAAATGAGGAAGAGGGCAGAGAAGAGTGAGCTTGGGAAGATTCGAAGGGATGGGAGTGTTGGTGTCTATGGGAAGGATGCGTGGGGTATGTTTGATCAATCAGAGTTGAATGAAGAGAATTGTTGATCCCTATATGTGTGCGTGTATGGAAGAAGTGAGGGTAGTAGTGGGTGTAGTAGTGGGTGTAGTAGTGTGTGTGGAAGTGTGTGTAGAAGAGTGTGTAGAAGTGAGGGTAGAAGTGAGGGTGGAGGTGGGAGAGGAAATGCAGGAAGAAGTGAGGAAGGTGGTGAGGAAAGTAGGGAAGAGAGAAGTGGGAGGGGAATTTATATTTTCTAAGCCTGCTGAAATTTCGTGGGATCAATGAACAATAAGCATTGATCTATCGTGATATCGTGAGAAATCCGAGTCTATCACGTTGAAGGATAATTCTCAGTGCCTCAAAGCCCTAAGGAAAGAGCATAGCCTACGGGGTTGTTTGCTCTTCATGCCCCGTTATAGTCGGCGATGGTATTGTTCTTTCCTTTCTATAGTCGGCGTTGAGTTTCGTGGAACTATTCACTAGGTATCAACCCGCAATTCATCACTAGCATGACAGCTAGTTGTCCTTGGTTGCCGAGTGTCTCCACGAGTTGCCACGAGTTGCCATGAGTTAACACGAGTTGACAATAGCCTCTTGGGGCCAAGGACACGAAACAACGTGTTTACGTGGGATCTTGCTGTTGAAAGAATTCCACTATGAACAATAACTCAAGACTCTTCGTGATTCTAATGGACTCAAGCGCCAGCACGAAACACGAAACTAGAATCAACATGTCTTGCCCGTGTGGATCAAGAAATATTGTCCAGATCATGGTAACTAGGTTTCTTAGGAGTAAACGTAAGTCACGAGTGATTATCTTGGGGCTATAAGATCACAAGCTCACAGAATGATCAGTTGTAAAAGCTGGAAAGGCTGCATGGTACGTAGAGAAAAATTGAAGGAACCAAATTGAAGGAACCATAGCAAAGTCAGGTGAATGGGGCAATGATTTGACGGGTAGATCCTTGGGGGAGGTTATGTACTACTTGTACTACTAGCACTTCAATTCTGTATTGGAAACTATGCTATGAGGTTGCCAGCTATGAATATCATTTCAAGGCTGGGCGAGGTTGGAGCTGAAGTAGAGCGGGCCCGGAATTGTAGCCGGAGGTCCGTGTTATGGTCGTCTTCTCAGATGCCATCCCGGCCCCAGCACCCCAAACTGCTCACCCGAGGACATGATTATGTTCCCAGAGTGACCTGCTCTTCGCATTATAGGCTAGGGTGTCGATGGTCTGGGGCTATGGAAATAAAATCACGAAGAAGCGCCAGGTTCTCAAGGTTTGTAGCTACTGTGCATTGAATATGGATCTGTTTCTACTGGCATGAGGCATGGCTGCTGTGGAGAAACACAAGCATGACATAGACTTCTGCCCGTGAAAGGGTGCACGTCGTCATGTCAATGCAGTTCCCCCTGACTCCTATGACCGGAGATTCGCTCCATCAAATGATGGAAAATTTTGAGGTGGTTGAGTTATGAATTGAAAATGCAAAAGCCTCTATTCTAAACATCTATCCTGCGAAGTTTTACCCAACTATGTCGTTGAAGTGACCAGTCACGGGTACCAAAGTACAGCGTCACTTCATTCTTATTTTCACAGTCAGCCGTTACCTCAAAGGCAGTAGGAGGGTAATTAATCACTCGGCTGTTCCTTTTCAGTTATCCAGGCTGATATTTTGATAATTTCTAGCAGTACTTTAATACAAAGGGCAGAGCCCGGTATTTTGAGGCACTTAAAGAAAATCACGGTCTTCAAATACACCCAATATCATCAAATCTTAAAACTCGGAAATTCTGACATCAATTAGCCTCCAACAGCCCCTCTTGTAGGCAAAGATGGCCTAAAGGATCTAGCAGCATCGAAGAGTTCTAGACATTTCTTCAACTCCCCATTTCTCTATATATTGTGTCATCGAGATATTGGTGTGAGACAGCCAATCGTAAACGTACCCTCCATACAAAATAAGAGTGAAAACTAACCTCTCCAGGATAAGAAAAGATATTGATAATTTAATAATATATATTTAGTTGAAGTCTTCAGGTTATATTACTACATACCAAGAGGTATCTATCTAAATATCCCGGCGAAACTACTGCGTCACACGGTCACTGTCTAAATCAACGTCCGCTATCGCTATAACCTTTGTACGGAATACCAGCTTGTGCCCTACATACAGAAAAATAAACAATATTAGGCTTACGTAGGCGCCGAAGAAGTCACTGGTGTTCCACTCTATAAAGACGGTAAAACCGTTCGTCAACAAGATCAGAATACAGAAACCAAGGCCGAAAACTGCCAGGTAGGGCTGGAAGGGAGCCTTAAAAGGTAGGTCGGTTCGAAGGATGCGACGATGTCTCAGCGCTTTCATGAAGCGAAGGTGGCAGATATTAATACAGGCCCAGGTGATGAATCCGGCGATGCCAGTGATATTCAACAGCCAGTCAAAGACCTCTCCACCACTCTGAGACAAGTTGAGGAAGGAGAGCAAGCCAATCGCCGAGGTACAAAGGACGGCAACGTAAGGAGTCCCGTACCTATTCGTACGTGTCAAGATTTTGGGCGCATTGTTTTCGCTGGCTAATGCCATTAGGATTCGGCTTCCAGAGTACACATTCGAGTTCGCGGCGGAGAGCACGGCAGTCAGGAGGACACCGTTGATGATATGGGGGAGGATTGGGACGCCGGCGAGATTGGCAGCGATAACAAGCGGTGATGCAGAGGCATCGGACGTACCGAGGAGGAGCTCGGGCGTATCAGCAGGCACCGTGAGGCCGATGAAGAATATCACAGCGACGAATAACGACACGATACCCCAGAACGTCCATCTGATAGCTGTCGGGACGTTCTTGGCAGGATCAGCTGTTTCACCGGCGCCCACGCCAACGAGCTCCGCCCCTTGGTACGAGAATCCAGCAGTGACGAGGACCGACCAGAATCCCACAAATTTCCCAACATCTCCAGATACGATATATTCCGTGAAAGGGCCGGGTTCCACCCACGCGTGGAAGCCGAGGTACCCTTTTTCGCCGACACCGGCGTCAATGCATATGGCGAAGATAATGAAGCCGATGATGGTGACAACCTTAATGGACGAAAACCACATTTCAAACTCGCCAAACCAGCGAATTGGCAGGAAGTTGACGGCCGTGAACACTACCCAAAAGGTGGCGATGAATATGGCGATGTTCAGACTCGAGTTCCAATACTGTATGATGATACCGGAGCCGACAAGCTCCAGCGCGAAGGTGGTGGCCCAGCTGAACCAGTATATCCATCCCATGGCGAAACCAAGCGAGCGGTCGACAAAGCGGGAGGCGTAGACGGTAAACGAGCCGGCGACGGGGATAAACGAGGCCATCTCTCCTAGACTCGCCATGACCGAGTAGACGATGGTGCCGACGAAAATGTACGCGATGAGACAGCCGACCGGCCCAGCTGTGGCCAACGCCTCGCCGCTACCCAGGAACAAGCCGGTACCGATAGTCCCTCCTATGGCGAGGAACTGGAGATGGTAACTCTGGAGGCCTCGTTGTAGCTGGTCATGACCGGCCTCGATATCTTGATTGGAGCCATCGAGCGATTGAATGACATCCACTGGCTTCTTCTCTCCATGAAGCATCTTTTCCCCTTGGGGGATGGTGCCCTCCATCTCGTCTGTGTCCTTCTCCGTCTCGCTCTTTCGAATTGATGATGTTCGACTTGGGGGATATCGAGCAAGTCGAAGCTCAAGGAAGAGAACAACGGCGAGTCAACGGAAGAACACAATCTGTTGCGCAAATAACGCAACGCTGTGGCCCTCCGGACACATTATAAATGGTTTGGGAGATCGACTAGAGACTACCTTGCCAGCCCACGACTTACGACCCCATACAATGATGTAAAAAATTCTCCAAAGAGATCGGTACCCGCCCCCCCGTAATATCGTGAGATGATGGCATACCCCTGGCTTGTACTTGCCAAGATGGGCTATTCGGATCCGCCGAAGGGTCTCGCGATCCGGCTGGGCCCGCTATTTACACGCCGAAGGCGCCGGCAATAAGCGAACGGTGCTCTGGCCCGCAGGCTCGTTCTTTTTTAAACTCTCTCCCAGCTCTGTTGAAAACTTTTTCTTCACTCTGGCCTCCTCCCCTCCAGGTCGCAGTCATTGGCCAACCAGACGGAGTCCTTGACTAAGAAAAATTTCCATTGCAGGCAAAGCGGGCCGAATCAAAAGGGACCGTTCGCCTAGAACCTGGCGGACGACGAAGCTAACCCCGGACTAATACAGCCAACCAACCTGGTTACAGGGGTCCGATCTCTCTACGGCTATCTGTGGTAGCCTTTTAATAAATCTGATGACGAACTTTGGCCCCGTCAGCCTTCAGTTTTGAGATGCACTTAGACTGTTTGCTGTTAAGACTGAATAACCCACGAACGAAACATGTCGGCCGAGGGCAGGCATACACTCTACACCGAGTGAGCCGCAGAAACGCGCATCTCGATTGGTCTAGTGGTCAGGATACCTGCTTGTCATGAGTTACAATTCCGCAGGTGGCCGGGGTTCGATTCCCCGATCGAGAGCACATTGCAACGCTTCTTTTTGTTTTGCCCTAAAAGATCTTTTTTCCTTCGAGAAGGGTTTCCCGCTGACTTGATTGCATGTGGGTTTGGTTGTTGTCCCCCTAAGGTTCGGAATATTGCTGCGCACATGATCGTCAAATGATGTTAGATGTCGTGACTGATCACGCTCAAGGGAAGATGTTCCTTTCTTTTCTCCGCATCACAGCATCAAAGCCGAACAGGCAGGGCGGAATTGTGACCGAAAGACGATATCCGTGTCATCATCGTCAATTGCGCGCAGGCCATTTGCTTCACCGAGCCCTGAATAAGGTTACTTACCCTAGAATCTAATTTTTCTACGTACTCCTCTTGTAATAATTGCGTAAGTCTTGGGGTTTAATGTGGAAAATGTATCTTGACCATGATTATAACGTATTGTAGTTGCTATTACCTAGGTTGGCTATTACCTAGGTTGATATGTCCTTGATCTAGTATACCCACCCATCTACCGCTGGGCTCCAGAACACGCCGTTTGGATCCCATTCTTTCTTAACCCTCCGCAGGATTTCCAACTTATGGGCACTGTAAATCTCCGCCATGTCAGTCTGAACCCTACCGTTTCCCCCAAGAATAGCGTTCGGCACTCCTTTCTCTTTGTCCTCGGACCGCGCGATGTTAAGCACGTCTTTGCCGTACGCCACGCCTGCGGGTATATGTTCAGGCTTGAGATCCCATGCCATTGTCTGCACTAGGAAACGTCGGTCTCTATGGCACATGAAGCTCTCCCCGGCGCCATCAATGCTGGTTAGTGTTGCCGAAGGCATGGACTGAAAGACCGTCATTGTGCGACCAATATTTGCGCCATAAGCCTCCACAAACGCGGCAAACCTGTTCGCGCCGCGGAGGAACGTCTCTGCAGACAGCTCTTTGACTAGACCGTTGTAGCAGTCCATGTTCTTTCCCTTTGTCGTCATCGCATCGCGTTGGGCGTTCATGGTATTTAGGTCGGTAAGACCGGGCTTGACCATTATCGCCTTTTCCTGGATCTCCGGGGCGTTCCATGGCGCAAACGCTTTTTCGGCCTCGGAAGCGGGTCCCGGGTACGACCCTTGAGCTACGATGATCGGTTCGCCGGCGTTTGACATAGTTGGTGGCGCTGCCATGAGGACGAACCCTGCCGAGAGCGGACCATGATCTTTGCTCTGCGATAGTATTTCCCATAGCTTGGCAGCAGCATCGAAGTCTTTCTTGGCGAACATGGCTACCACTTCGGAGATCTTGTTGCCATCAACAAGACTTAAGTCGGTCGTGGGATAGATGCGCAGGGTTAACGAGAGGACAACCCCGAAGCCGGCACCGGCACCTTTGAGTACATTGTACAAATCTCTCTTCGATCCAGATGATGAGGCGGAGACCTCAACTATCTCACCGGATGCTGTAACAAGTCTTGCGCCGACGAGGTTATCACAGGCATGTCCCATTATTACCATTAATAGGTTGATACCCCCGAGAAGAACGTTGCCCACCATTCCCACTATCCCGATATTTGGCCATCCTGCATGTTTCAGTCAGCGATACATGTTGCCACAAAAAAAAGAAAAAAAAGAAATCACTGATGGAATGTACCTGTATAGAATCCCCTTGATGTCACTACCGGCTGGACGTCCCCAGTCAGTGCGCCTCCGCCCAAAGTGACCGTTCTCGCCTCCGTGTTGACGTCAACCGAGCGAACCTTTTCCATGTCAAGATAGAGAGTCTTGTTGTTGATGATCACCACGCCGCCGCATGCCCCGCAGGAAGGGAGAACTCTCAGGCCATTTGCGGCTGCGAATCGTACCACCGCGACGACGTCGTCCTCGGTGGACGGGACGACTGCCGCGGCGGGCAGGGTCGACGGCCCCAGGGTCATCCATCGCTTGCTAAGGAATTTGTGAACATCGTCGTCATTGGAAGGCGTGGAGACATCGCACGTCGGCGGGAGAGCCGACTTTATGTCCGTTATAGCAGCCATCGTAGATCTTCTGTCGTAATATTTCACCTCTTCGCTGTCTTTAGACTAAGAGCGAGCAAGAAACGATGGAAGCCAGGTTAATAGAAATTAGAGAAATATGTTTCTCCCTGACATTATATATGCCCCATTAGCTTCATGCCTGTGGTATATGCGCTAACCAATAGTTATGAAGGCTCGCCTCTAGTGCCTAGTTGATAACGTATCGTTTTTGATAGTCGAGGTGGAACAGGAGGGAGAGAAGGCAAGGGACTGTTGTAAGATACGTTAACGGCTATATATATCCCTTCCTTGATCTACATACTAAACAATTCACACATCAATGGCCTTATCTCTCTAGCATGAGTCGCATAGTCTTTAGTGATGAATTGTATATGAACCATTTATAGTAGTCAGATTATATTGCCTAATTTTCAGATAACACTGCATTTGTGGATATTAAAGCCGTCTAATCCTTCCGTTTTACTGCCTCCTAATTTACAGGCTATTATTAAGCCAAAGAAAGGCGTTCCAACTGAAGCCTAGATAGAGGAAGAACTACAAAAGGAAGCGTGAACAGGGAAGCGAAGAATACGTCCAATAGCAATTATCAATTGAATAGTTATTACCTCGGTACCCGTGTAACGCAGTTTAATCATACCCATGGCTCCCATGCCATCGGATTCCAGCCAGACGCTAGTTGGTGTTGATATTTAAAGGCTTGAGGCATACTGTCGTTTCAGTCCTAGCTACAGCCCCCAAAGCTTCAACAAGCAGACGAGCCTTTCCTTTCCGGACAGAATATTACTGCAGGAACTTCAGCCTGCCCAAATTGGCGCGTGTTATGTTCGTTCGCTAGCGAAGCTCATTGTCGACTGAGTCCGCTCGACGGGGGTGGCGCTGCTGTTGACTTGCCGGGTGTTGCACGAACAAAAAGCGGCACACCCGGTTCGTTGACTTTGGACGTGGCCTTCTGTGTCGCACCATGCGTTGTGTTTTCCCTGGCAGAAGTCTTGCTAGGGCCCCTCATTGCAGGAAAGTTGGTATTCAGGTGTCGGAATGGAAAGGTAGAGGTTTCTACAAATTTGGCGAGGCTGGACGACGGCGATGAAAATCGCAATGATTAAGAAACCTAAAGACTAGGAAGATAGAGTATTAGCTATCTGAGGTATATGTCAGATGACTTGGATTATCGAGCTTTCTTACCCTCATGGTAACGAATAATCACTGCGGAAACTAGGATGTTATGCTATGTACTTTCATCTGTCGAATATGCAATGTCCGCCCAAGGGTATAATAGAGATGGTTGCCTGGGAATATGCAGTGGCCCTTTTACGGTTGAGATCTAAGAAGCAAAGTCGCCTCGCATGACTTCACATATGCACCTAGACCCTCGGGTAGGAGCATATCACACGATCAAGTTATCGAAGCTACCATATCAATGCAACTTGGAATAGAGTAGATCATTACATATCACCTTTCACTGCGGGGTTTCCCTGGTTTGGTGGCATTGAAGATGAATGACTCTGGATGCATAAAGCTGAGCTTTCGTCACGGTGCGTAACTTGGTCACGGCAAGAGACAATTGTGCCTGTGAAGATGCCTACTTATGAAATATCTGGGACATTTGCTGAGATGCCATCCTTCATGATTTAGCAGACGCTTATTCCCTAGCTCTGCTATACTTCGCGCTTGATGTCATGTCTAAGCAAGCGTGGGTAAGCCGGGAACTTTCACATATCGTGAACTACCAATTTGTGCATGATTCTTTGGCCTGACTCTCTGCATACAATGCCCGGATATATCGATCTGGCTGTTGCAAGAATATCTAGGCCTCGCCTGATATCGTTGATCCGATATACTCTAGGTTAGGTGAGTGAAGTGGCGAAGCAGCACTGCATACGGCATCAACGTCGTTTGCAGCCGTGGAGCCAATTACTCTACTCTATTGTATCGCCATGTTTGGACGACTGCCTAAATTGCAACATGAATAATACGTAGCACTGCGTTCAGCCGGTGAACACAGCATGCGGTGCCTGTAAGTCATTAGTCAACGTCCGCGATCCTTCGCGTATTATATACTACAAAGAGACGAAACTGTCCGACCGTCCGACCATCCGATTCTCCGCATATCCAACTTAGGATGCACATGGACTTTGGAACCGTCAATCATTGGATTATCCCCATACGTAGCTGACCAGTTATATGAGGCTGTTATCAGATTACCTTGCGATGCATTTATACCACCGTCCGTAGGAATGCGGAGGAAAAGGGGGCGCGCACTTTCGTCATTTTATTCGGACTATCGCGCTTCGGGTTTGAGATGTCGTCTTATGGTATAAAGACCTGTTAGTTCGTTCTAGTGATGATTCTTGCTTAGCTGTGTTTTTTTCTTCATATAAACAGGATACGATACAATATTATTAGCAGAATACAGATAATACCAGACCAGTCAAGAATAATGGCCTCGCCGTCGGAGCTACCTTCGTTGGGGGAGGACTGGACTTACCAGTCTCTGCTCCCATTTGTTCATTCAACACCCTATGTCCTCCTCACTTTTATGGTCATAATTGTCGTGTACGCTTGGAGCTCAGCAGATTCCAGCCTCAAGGACATGCCGTTAGTGAACGCTGCTAGTTTCTTGTCGAAGAACCAAGCAAAAGTACGTTCCAATGCTATACAATTCATTATACCTTAGAAGAACGAGTCACTAATATCTTATGATTTGAAGCAAAACTACCGCAAGTCAGGCAGAGCCTTCCTGCAGAATGCTAGGAGACAGTATCCAAACCAGCCGTACCGAATGATCACGGATTATGGAGAGGTTGTCATCTTGCCCTCCGAGTTTCTAGACGAGATTCGTAACGAGGTCAGTAGCTGTATCCTCGCTTATCTTCGTCTTGTATATTAGGAGGCACACCACTCTGAGACTTGAAACATGCCCTATTTCCTTCTCATTCCTGGTCGCCCTTTGTCTTTCGACATCTGCTCTTACTGCCAAGCTGCCATTCACGAACTCACGAAAATGAGGTTT